GACTATTTATATAATAAAAGAGCTACTGTGTACTTTAATGGATAGTTAAAGACATTTTCACAGGTCTGTATCCACATGGGATTTATGGAGACTTATAGGCCTGGTCAGTTTGTAAAATTGTGATAGCCCAAGAGACTGTTGTCAGATGTTGGTAACAAGACAGTGTTTGAAAGGAATCAAAACAATATAAATCCTGTGAGATCTGTGGCAGCAGGATGGGTTCTAATGGAGAGGAAGGCAGGGTCGACCACCACACAAGAGAACTAGGAGAAGAAAGTGTTTTTTCTCTTTCAAGCTCGCAGCACCAGCAGGGGTAAGCAGATTTCTGAAAAGAATCTCATCAGTGGATCAATCCAGTGTAACAGATGGAGTGCACAGATATTGTCTATCAGATTTCCATCGCATGTGGCAAACAAATACATTGTTGCAACTGTTAGCAGCAAAACTTTCCCTTTTTTTAACTTCATAATTACCAAGAGTTGAAAAGAGCTGTGGGTTAATGATTTCCTAACAATAACTATGGGGGACTTGGAGGATAGTAACTTCCCCAAGGAATACATTAGTAGGAGATATAAAGTCTCTAAGCATCTTGAATGGAAGGGTTTGGATCTGCAGAAATAACTGCCTATAGCATTGCATTTTAAAAAGTGGAAATTTTCCTAGGAAAGGGAGACTGGGCTGGATCTTCGTTTCCGGTACCTGGCAGGTTTACACTGCTGACAGCAGAGACAAAGCAGTCCTTACCAGTACAAAGTTTTGGGCTTTGTTGCCATTGTAAAACCATTAGCAAGAGCAAGATTTGGGATGTCTGAGAACAGTTCACTGTGAGTGCACAGTTACAGCAGTCGGAGGCAAGGTGTGAGGCTATGAATTAATTTCCCAGTGTTATTAATAATGCTGTTATTATTTAGAGGTTAATTTTATTAAGTGTTGACATGGATATCAAAGTCTGGATGCAAATATTATAGAATCATAGAATAGTTTAAGGGACCTTTAAAGATTATGTAGTCCAACCCCCAAATATGTAATGGTCTCTTGGCATCTTCTTCAAGTGATAGCCCTGAAGATGGACTAATGACTGTATGGTACTCATGGTGATGGTGTGGATGCAATAGATTTAGAAGTGATGGTTATCAGGGATTAAATGGTTAAGCTTGTAACAAGAGCATGTCAGAGTTAATTTTTGTAAATAACAGTTGTTGGACCTAGTAAATATGTAGTTAGGAACTAAGAGACCATGGTTTAGTTACCAATTAGTTACAGAAAGTATGGACAGACAATTTGAAAAGTTTCTCTAGGCTCAAATGAACCAAGTGGGTAATAGGGTGGGTTAGTTCTGTGAACTAAGTGGAAAAGGATTGTCCGGGATTGAAGGCACAACTCAGATACCCAGAGATACAGAACTGCGACCATTTGAGATGACACAGGGCATCTCCCATCCTTTTGCCAATTCAGAGGAATGCAGGTCTCCCATAGATCCTTTATCCATAAAGCTGAACCCATTGAGAGTGTCTTGAGTAATATTCTCCCTCACATGGCTGTAGGAATCAGGGAAAAAGAATCAAGCCCTGGATCTTGACAAAACAGATGTGTTTGGCTAACCAGAGACACTAACCATGTGTTTCCATCTATGGAGATATTCAGACTCCTGGGAAACCTGCTCTAGGTGACCATGCTTGAGCAGAGAGGTTGGACCAGATGTTTTCAAGACATTCTTTCCAACCAATTCCAAGAAGTCTGTGATTCTGGGAAGAAAGATGAGTATAATGCAAAATCTAGGTTCACCTCTTTGTTTATCAGGTGTGTGGAAATGGGAATTCCCAGATTCTCAGAACTTTAACACTCAGCAAAATGGGTTATATTCTTGGGAGCTGTGACAATTGGGATGTTGGGGTTTTTGCTACAGCAATGCATAGAATCTGTTCATCAGTTCGCTTAGTTTTGTTTTTTAAAACCTTTTGCAACATAGCATATAGAAAATGAGGAAAGATTTACTCCATGCTTAAGGCACATGACTCGGATGGTGGTAAAGTGTTTTCAGTTCTAATCTACCATGAGGCTTCTCCTTATTGTGTGTAAAGCTTCTCAGTCTTTCTGAGGCTGTGTTTCCTAACTTGTCAAGGAAGCTGTTTAAGGCAGGGGCTAACTTTTTATCCATTGTATAAAGTGTAGCTAACTTAGTGAGACTGAATGACTACCATTACACATCATTAATGAGGTTTGAGAGTGATTCTGGTCCAAAGAAACCAAATGTCCAAGCCAAGAAATAGCAGATATGCCTTGACCTTGAATATCATTGAGTTTCTGGCTAATATTGTAATTCACAATGTTTCTGATCTTAAAGGTTTAGCCACAAGAAAGAAGAATTTTGCAGAAGTAAAGTGAAAATGTTTACGTAGCATCTAAAACAACAGAATAGTACCATTAATTTTTCTTTGCCTTTTTCAACATATATGACGTTATTCAGTATTTTTTAACTCATGCTCTAAGCTTACTGTATTTCATCAGTACTTGAGCCACCTCAAATAAAAGTTCCATTTGTAATTGGCTCCTTTGTACAACCCCCACTCTGATGCTTTTTTTGTTTTTTTTTTTCATTTCAGTCTCCTCTTTGGTTCCAAGAATTCTAAAACAAAAGCCAAAATAGCATTTACACCCTTGCTTCCTCCAAAATACCTCTCCTCCTTCTGGGCCTACTTTCTTTGCACACTAACCCTGTAATTCTAGCTCTGCAGGGGCCCTGGTGCCTTTATAGTATCATAACCAACTTTACATGTCTGTCTAGATACTGAATAACCTTGCTTCTTGGAAGAAATAACTACACACCTAGCCATGCCACTCTTTATTTGCCAGTTAATTGAACCCTGCCTTCCTTTTGTCTCTCAAAAGAATGGAAATTATCGGTTGCTCTCTGAACACCTCTTGCCCCATGAAAAAAAAATATGATTTGCCCTATTTCCTCACAAGATCCAAAGACCCTTTACCATAGATCTTTAAAGTAGGAGAGGGATGTGAAGACAGGTAGATATTCACCTAATACTCAACAGTTCTTACTGTATCATGTCGCAGCCCTCAAAATAGAAATATGCGGTGTACAAAATGCGTCTTGCACACAAAAGTATAGTTCTCTAGTCACAAAAATACATAAAAATCACTCCTTTGGGTTGCATTATGGGGTGTTTGTCTTGCCTGTGAGTTCTGTGGATTCAGGCCCTGACATGCCCACTAACCTGTTAGGTGTGATGATGTCAGGACACCTGTGGTTTAGGTAAATACTAACAAAGAACGGTATTGAAGGCACAGGCAAACTTGCAACACGTGTAAAGGAGGGCTGAGAAGGTCCTTCTTGAATTAACCATTCTTGTGCATTACCAATGGGTTTCGAGAGACTTGTGCTTTTTCAGAAACTACCTTTATGGAAACACGAGAATTAGTAATGAGTGAGTTCGGTGAGGATTCTTGTCCATCCACCTGACAGAGAAAAATTCCTTGCTAGAGGCAGCATGTTTGGAGGGCTTAGATAAAGCTTGATAAATTGGGCAACTAGATGACAACGTCATTAGGGACATAAATAAAAGAGTTCAAGAAAAACCAAGGTAATGATAACAAGAGTCATAAATTACACAGTCAGGTGTTGGCTGAAATTCACTAAAGGAAGTAAGTGAACTGTGTGTGGTATTTTATGGATTACATGTATATATGTAAATATGCATTATGTTGTGAATAAAAGGAGAGCAAGTAGGCTTAGCATGAATGGGTTGTTTTTACCACTTTAAGTTGATTTTGGACATACTAATGTAAATATTTATTCTCAGATGACATTGAAAAAATGGCAATACAAACTTAGCAAATAGTCTTCTTTCTAGAGAAGACAATGTGGTTATGGAATTGACTTTGACTGAAGTTAACAGAAACAGCTCTGGCACTTTCAGGTAGACTATGCTGTTTCTATGCTGATTTTGGTATATCATAACCAGACATCTACCTCCGACATGTACTTACCTCAAATCAGATATTTAGTTACCTAGTAATAGTGCATCTAATTATTCTCAAGGAAAAAAAACTATATTTATGAAACAAAGGGGTATTTTGAGACTTAGTAAAGGTTTCACTTAATTAATAACTCAGGTACCATTATTTATGTACTTTACTCTGAAATATCATTGAAATAGTAATATTAGGCTCCCTTTGTTCTCATAATCTTTGGTTTAAAGTACAAATGGAATTTAAGATCAATGGGTTTATTCAAGAAAATAAACCTTAAAGGAAGTTGTTCAGCACTGCTGTAGTAGTACATTATTGTTGTAGATAAAGAGTATGTGAATTTTTCAAAGCCATTTTGGGTCTGAAGCAAAGCGTGGCTCAGCTGGAATTTAAGAATGAGACTATATTAGGAAGTTTATGCCCCCAGTGGAATAGCTTTTTAACAATTTCCATCTTTGCGACCCTTAACCGATTTACTTTCAGTTCAGTTGTATAAAGTAGGAAGCTCATAGTTTTGCAGACAGTCAGAGTGAGATTTGGAAAGCCTAGAAAAATGTTTAAGATCTGAGAAAAGCAAGAGTCAACCTTGGAGTTCTGTAGCTTCTGATCTGGAGTACAGGAACTTCATGTTTATAGCCTCCAAGTTCTAAAGTTGAAAGTGAAAAATATACAGTGGTAAGTCCAGGTCTGTATGAGCATCTTTACTTGTGTAGTAACTGTAAACAGCAGGTTGTATTTGTGTAATGGGAATAGAAATCCCATGATAAATGAAGCTGCAAATAGCCTGAAATCTCACTGGAAGTGGTTAGGTGGAAAATTAATAACAATTAAAATTTGACAAAGTACAAGTGGCAAATGAGTTGCATTCCTTCTTCCCTAAGGAAGTTGAAGAGGAAATATGAACACCTGATGTAGAAAAGTTTACCAGGTCATTGAGTTCAAGAGAAGGATCAGGAGGCCAGACCACTGAAAAATTAGTCTTGAATGCTTCATTGTGTATATTTTAATGACCTCCAAGTAGCTTAAACCTATATTCAGAAGTGAAACAACCATATAAACAAAATGAGGGGGGCTTACTATGAGACAAGAAGACAAGAGGGAAAAGTGGACACAATTTATCTCTAGTGTAGAAGAACTTGTAAAAGGGACCACGGTCCAGTGCAGGGTATGGAGACAGGAGGGCTCCAATCTGTTCCAAGCCACCGGCGCTGTCTGACCCGGGCAGGTCACTTGACTTCTTTGTGCCTCTGTCAATCCAGCTGGAAAATTGGGTAACAAAAGCAAGACCTTGCTGAAAAGCAGATGCTCCATCAGAGTTGAGCTGTCCTGGATAAACAAATTACAAAGCATTGATAGATACCATAGGAAAACTTAGATGGGTCTGTGGTTCCAGTAAGGAAAAATGAGCAATGTGGGAAAGATCCAGCTGACAGTGCTGGGGGCTCACAGAAAGCGATTTGTCTCCGAGTTCACAGGTGAAATGAGGAGCTTACAGGATGGACGCAAAACTGGTTTGTGTTGGAAATCAGAAAATCAGAAAGACGATGGTGTTTGGAGTCCATCCTGTGTAAGATCTGATTTCAAATTGCCCAAGGTGAGAAAACAATAGCAGTAATTTATTGCTTGTGGTGAAAATTTAAATGCTAAGAGGCTGTCTGGGAGATGAGCATCCTGTAATTCATGACCAGATATGTAGATGCAAACATCAGAGGCTGTACATAACTCACTGGTCTTGCTTTAGAGTTATATTTTAGACCTTTAAGAGGACCTCATTTGAAATCATATAATCTTTAATTTATTTTCTTAATTTTTTAATTTCCATGAATTTACATCTCGGTCTTGGGTCTCAAGTCCTTCAGAAATATAGAAGGCCTTATAGAAGCCAACTGCTTAGGCTTTGAAATTAAACTAAATCCATAGGCTCGAAATTGGTTGAAGATAGAGCACTGTGTTAGGAAAAAAGATAATAGAGCATAAATTCCAGATCCCTGGATTGCAAGAATGTGCCTTAGGGTGGTGTTTTGAAAATGTTTGGCAGAGTGCTATACAGAGGAATGTATTCATTTTACTATTTAAAATTACTTTTTCAGTATGTATAAAAATCCATAGTGTGTAAATTTTATATGAAAAATAATGTTGATATTTTTAAGGAAAAAAATCTCTAGGTGTAGTGTAACAAACAGACCTCTGAAAATAGGATTTAGAAAATTGAAGTTAATTTCTTGGCTCTGCTAATAGAAGTTGAGTGCTTTGGCATGCCATTTTGTGTCTTTTTACCTCCATTTCCCTATCTGAAAATTGGAGATAAAGATTCTTACCTCTTTGTACAGAACTGATGATGAAGAACATCAGGTAAGAATTAGGGTGAAAGTAAAGCATGCATTCACATTTCATTGCAATGAACTAAGAAGCAGCCTTGTGTTGTTATTTGATTGTGTTATTTGTATTTTTGTCCCACTGGTTGATGTGGATGTGACAGAAAAAAAATGCTGCATGTATGTTCCTTAACTGGAAAAGGGAAGACATTGACTACCACGCCAGCACACTTTTTCTGGCAAAGCTATACATTAAGTGCAGTTCTGACAGTCTTGAGACACTAGTTCAGCATGTGTTTTACCACATTTTAAGACTTACATAAACATGCGAAACCTGCTGTTCCATATTAGCTTGGGATGTATTGAAAATAGTTGTTCTTTGGCCTTTCTGATACTCTGGATGAGGCAAGGTTAACTTGAAGACTCCAAGATGCTTAGAAGGGTCTTGAGCAGTATGAAGTACTGAGTTCACCCTAATCCCTGAGCCTTAGGGTGGCAGATCATTTGGCAGAAATATTGGAAAGTCACACTAATATTTAAGAGAAAAAATATTTCCAATAACCTGAAGTGTGGTTTTCTGAGAGATGTGTGCCAGAACCAAATCTCCATCAAGTCATTAGTTTCCTGTCCTCATACTTAGTCTTGGCAAGGAAACCTTTCGTTGGAAGATGTGTTATTATGGCAGCAATGGAATTGCTTTGAGACGCATCCAAAAACAATCTCAAAAGTTGTACAGAAAAATGCTAACTTCTCTGGACACAATGAGACTGGTGATTTCTAATTCTGCAACCATGTTAGGACTTACCTGTCTTGTGGGCTGCTGTGTCGTGGTGCTGGGTGGACCCCTTTGTTCTGGTCACCCGAGGAAGTCTTTGTGTTTCCTGAGGATGCACTGCACTGTCACACAGGCCACAGGAGCAGAAAAGGAGTGAAAAGTCAGAGGCAATAACTGTACTGAGTTCTTAGATTTTAATATGTTTATATGATTTTTTCCTACCTTCAGTATTAAGTCTGTTCTTATTTCCTATCCTGTGAATACACCGAGTTGTTAACTCTTTGTACACATGGGTGTAGCAGTTTTGGCTGGGATAAATTTAATTTTCTTTAGGCTGGTATGGGGCTGTATTTTGGATTTGTGCTGAAAATAATCTTGGTAATATGGAGATGTTTTAGTTATTGCTTAGCTTATGCAGTGCTTATGCTCAGTGCTTATGCAGTGTTAAGGCCTTTTCTGCTCCTCACCCCACTCCACCAGTGAGCAGGCTGGGGGTGCTCAAAAACTTGGTGACACAGCCAGGAGAACTGACCCCAACTGACCAACAATATTCCATGTCATATGGCATCATACTCTGCATGTAATAATGGGGGAAGGAGAAGGAGGGGGAGACACGTAGAGTGATGGCATTTGTCTTCTCAAGTGACCATTGCATGTGACAGAGCCCCGTTCTCCTGGAGATGGCTGAACACCTGTCTGCCCATAGGAAGAAGTGAATTAATACCTTGTTTTGCTTTCTTTATGTGTGTGGCTTTAGCTTTCTCTATTAAACTGTCTTTATTACAACCCATGAGTTTTCTCTCTTTTCAGATTCTCTCCCCCATTCCCACCAGGAGGGAAGCAAGTGAGTGGCTGCATGAGGCTGAGTTGGGGTTGGGGTTGTCTGTGGTTAAACCATGACAGTCCTTTTTGGCACCCAGTGTGGGGCTCAAAGGGTTTGGGATAATAACAGATTGACCAGCGGATATTAGGACGGATTTATATCTGTTAGTAGCTGTGGGTCATGATATTAATTCATCTGTTCTCAATATTAGTTTATCTGATCTGCACCATGTGCTTTTTTTTTGCTGTACATGTTAAGGATTGGTGTTGGCTTTTGCAGTTTCCTGTGCTCTGCAGTGATTAGTGGTGTTTTGCCTGGGAGATTTGTTGTTAAAACACTGACCTTGGCTTCATCTGGTATTTGGGCTCTGTACTGAAGCCACTGTACTTTGGGTACCATCTCATCCAGACAACTAAGGGTTATAATTCTTCCTCTGAGAAGGTTGGTTTTTTTTTTTTTTGTGGAGGAATTACAGAATGGCACCTTTGCTACCTTCCTCTGTGATGTTTTCTCCCTCCTTACAAGACCTTCTTAGTATCTTGAACATTCTTGAATAGTTAAAATACTTTTATTGGTATTTCCTAGGAATATAGCTGTGATTTTGTCCAGGATTCACAACCCCTTTAGGAATATGATCTATGCTTTGTGAGGGTATGGCAATGGATGGCACAGCATGTGGGAGAATATCTAGGAAACTTCTTACATCCGCTGGTCTGAAACTTCACTCCTGAACAATTACAGGATCCTGATGAAGTGATAGAAAGCTTAGGGGAAAAAAATGCTGTGGCTATTCCAAAGAGACAAAACTTAGAATCATAGAATTGTTAACGTTGAAAAAGACCTCTAAAATCATAGAGTCCAACCATTAACCTAGCACTGCCCACATGTTCACTGCTAACCCATGTCCCCAAGTGTCACATCCACACGTTTTCTGAGCATTCCCAGGGATGGCAGAACTTCCTGCACTGTGCTGGACCCAGGCCAGCATCTACCAAACACTGCTCCATGTTATGCAGTCCCTCCGAGGGTCTGCAATAACAAAAACATCTGTATTATCAACGCTGTTTCCAGAACAAATCCAAAACACAGCCCCATACCAGCTACTATGAAGAAAATTAACTCTATCACTGCCCAAACCAGCACAGCACAATTAAGGGACTAAATATAGGCAGGCAGAGGGAGAAAGTGTTTTTGTAGTTACAAAGTAGAGAGCTGTATTCAGTCACAAAGAGCTGTGTTCAGTTGGCATCTCTGCCACAGGCATCCCAAGTGATCCTGGTCAAATCACTCTGTCTCTGAATCTTGCTTTTTCTTTGTAAGGAATAGGATATCAGACAGTTTCTCGAAGAGATACTTGCAATCTCCCCATTGGTTTTCAGCTATCGAGCTCTGGAGTGGACTTTATTCAAGTGTATCTTGTGATACCTAGTATTGCTCCTATTTTATTTAATGCTACCTTCTAAATCTTGTGGTAGTGTCATTAGAGGAAAATGTCCTCTACTGGGAAAAACGCTGCCTAAAGCAACAGGCGAATACTGCCTTTGCCAGTGCACCTGGCAGTAACAATAGGCTGTGAACTACAAAGGGTGACATACTGCAATTAATTTTTGAATGAGCTATTCAAGATACTCTCGAAGTGATTGAGGATGATTTTGATATCTTTGTATCCTTTAGTGTCGAATGGGATTGGTTTAGGATCAGACTTAGAACAGTTAAAGAGGCAATGACAGGGCTATGCTCCTGTTGGCAAAACTTACTCTTATTTGCAGTCATCTGTGTCCTGTCCTCCTTAAACTATCCACAGGGACTCCTGTGCAGAGTACACTGGGCTTATTAGTATGTCACATGTTACCATGCCCTGAGTGACTGTCCATAAGCAGTCACAGCAGAGGTGGGCAGTGTGCCACACAGACATCGCAGAACAGTCACGGGCAAGGGGTCTGTCTGTGCTGAGGAATCAAATAAATTACAATAACTAGAATTTTCAGCTTCATTCCTAAAAATCAGTTCTTGCATAACTAATTGTGTGCAGTGAGGAGCTGGCCCTTCTCCTTATTTCAGTCTGATAAATTGCCACAAGGTAAAATAAAATAGATTACTCACCAGGCATTGCTCTTCTAGGATGTCATGGGTATGTAATGCAGTTGCAAATGGAGAGGGCAGGTGGTCCAGACAACTGCAAATGGAAAGGTGCCAGCAAGGCAGTCCTCTATTAAGAAGTGATGCAATTATGAAATGGTTTGAGGACCTCTATATTAACCCATAAAACAACAGACACTCTCAGAGGGAATTGCCTTCTCCCTGACTTTTGCCTGCTGAGCTGCATTTTCTACCCTCAATTGAAGCATCTCTCTTGTAATACATTTCTGTACGTTTCTGTCTGTGACAGTGAACCTTATCTGCTATCAGAAAAAATAGTAGAAAGTCTGAAGTGGGGTGAAGTTAAAAAAAAAAAAGAAAAGGTTTGCTGTAATTTCAAGGCACAATAGTGATAGGTAGAGACTGGGACTGGCAGTAGTTAAACAAATCAGAGATGAGGACTTCTAGGCGAGTCTGGAAGTATCAACTTGTGCTGAAATGTTTTCTCTCAGGTGTGGGCTTAGGGAGAGAAAACCGGTTAAGTCCATTAGCATTGCCTTGCATGGTCCAGCTGCTGAGCTGCCGTGTGGCTCTTCCACAAGGACTTTGTTTTCCAGGACAGCATTTGTGGCTGCTGTAAGCATCCTGTGCTTGCCAGTGCAGAGCAGACAAAGCAAATACAGCAGAGCTTGAATCCTGATCGAGGCAGCAGTGGTCTCATGGATGGGGAACCGTTTGGGGTTGATAAAGTTTCATCAGAAAAGATTTAATTCCTGGCTCTGGCACAGTGCTGGGGAGAGGATCTAAGCTGGCCAAACCCTGTGTCTCTGTTTCTCATCCAGCTGAACAAGACAGTGACACTTGTCTTCCCACGGGAAGGATATCGAGGCCTTTGGCTGGAAGTCATCCTGCAAAGCATGGGTGTGAAACTGCTCATGTGCTGATATGTGAAGTTGGCTGTTTGGCCCTTAGCCAGCTGTGCACATGAAGTCCCTTTGGAGGCAGCAGGACTTAAACATGTGCTGGAGTTTAAGCATGTGCTGAAATGCTTTGTAAATGCAGGTCTTTGTGACTAATGATACTTATGTGCTAGGATGATTACGATCATGATCTTGGATATTTCCGAGAATGCTTTGTCTTTCCCAATTGAAAAAAAAAAAAAGATTTCTGTGGCTCTACACTTATTACAATGCTGTTTTAATGAGTGTTTTTTGTGTTTATAGTAAAGGCATGGGTTGCACGAGCTTGGGCTTTTATAGTTCTTTTTGAAGGGAGAATGGTAAAGCAGAAGAAGAAATCTAATTCAAACACTATCTCTTTGGGGGCTGAAAAGGAACTGTTGCATTGCATAATAAGGAAAACTCAAAAAAAAAAAAAGAAGTTAATGATATTACTAGAAGCAGGTTAAAAAGTTGATTATGGAAGCTGAGCTTTGTAAATAACTGTGAATTCTAAGCTGAGGTCTCTGAAATGCCAATTACAGTCACTTGAGTACATGGGGGCATGCTGGGCTTTTGCCGGGAGAGTTAATGAGCAATTTCATAACGTGCTATATATCACTTTAGGAAGACATGATAAATTGCCTCTAATGGTATTGTGTGTATAAATGGGAGCTGGTTTTGCTCTGTGTTCAGTTCTAGTGATTGGGTGGTACACCTGGAAAGACTTGTATTTTAATGGGCCCTTTTTAGCACTTTTGCACCTCGTATGTTCTGGATTATGTATGATTGATGGCCTTGAATGTATGGGAAGGAAAGATATGTAGATCTTAATGCTTTTAAACCATTTGTTTTCCAGTCTTTCTAAAAGACCTCTCTGTTTTCTGGGTAATGGTTTATACGTCTCAAGTAAACAGAAGTACGGTTCTGGGACTTTGGCTTTTAGCACTATAAATCCAGTGGGTTTTTATAGGATGGTCATTCAGTTTACAGTGCACTTAAGAAAAGATAGCTGTTTTCATACTAGTCATTAAAGACAAATAAGTAGGGAGTTTGGTAGATAATTTGATGCATGAAGTAGATTTAAAAAAATATAAAACCAGAGTTTGCTGGGCATTCGTCTAGTTTGCATTTTATATGGTGAGTAAAATTTCTTTTTACCTTGGGTCACACCAGTGTGTTCACAGTCACAACCTTTCTCACTGTCTTAAGCATTTCACATACGTGTTGTTCAGCAGCTGGACTGATATTCTTTAGAATAATAAAACATGTATTTCTCAGTTTCGTGTGCCTGTGTCTTTCATTGTCAGGTGGAAATTTCAACTGGGGAAAGAGATTAGATGACTTTGCAATGCTTTTGCATTTTAAATGCTTGCTTGTTAAAATTAAATTTCTGACTAATTGCAATAAGGTAATTTGCACCTTCCTCCAGTAGCTTCTTATACTTAGTTTCCATTCTTTGCAGGTATTTAATAAAAAATTAATAAGATGAGGCTCCTGTGTGTCAGGTACGATGGGTCAGGGTCATGGAGGCGGGTGGGTGTCCAGCGAGTGCCATCAGGAGTTACGTGCCACTGCAGCCTCGTGACCTGATCGCG